CTCTTGTGGGGGACTGTCCTCTGAATCAAGCAACCGTAAACTTGGGGAGTTCAACAGTGCCCCCTGATTATCCCAGTTGGGCTTGTTGACGGGCTGTATCCCCTCATGGATGTGTCGGGAGGGTCATGAGACCAGCATCTGAGATGGCTAACACCAGCGGCTACCTGCCGCCCGCCGTATGCAGCTCTGCCTTAATTGCATGCAGGTTGGAGAGAGGTTAAACTATCCAGGTGGGAGGACCAGAGGAGATGAACTTCACCTATACAACTACAGAGAAGCCCTCATCTTTGTTGGGTGAGGCCTGATAGGTGGGGATAGGACCTACACCCCTGTAAGTAGCCCCTTATCTATGCTCTGTAAGGAAGCCCAATAAACTCAGTTGCCCAGAGTAGGCTTCAGTGAATTGTGTCTTGGTTTGTGCTTGGTACCTTAGGAGAGGGGGTAGATGTGGCTTGCATCCCCCCACCCCAGTGAAGGAATTTTAGCATCGTGGGCACAGTACTGTCTTGAGCAGGGTGAAAAAATTTGGGATCTGCTTGGGGGTGACGGTTACGCAATATTGTGAACTCTCTGGATACCACTGGGTGGCACAATTTTACCTTGTATATGCTTTATCACGTTTTAGGAAATTGGAATGGCAGGGTGGCATGGGCACCTTGCTCTTGTCTTTCGGTGGGTTTGCTGCAGCCAGTGATGGTACTAGAAGCTCGTGGAGTATATGAAAAAGAGCCCCAGGGATGCTGTGCATAGAAGCTATTAAGAGAAAAGCTGGGCAGTGGTGGTGCACACCTTTAATTGCAACACTCGGGAGGCAGAAGCAGGCAGCTCTCTGAGTTCAAGGCCAGCCTGGTCTACAGGGAGAGTTCTGGGACAGACAGGGATACATAGAGAAACCCTGTCTCAAGAAAACAAAAGCAAACAAAACACACACACACACACGCACAAAACCCTGTAAGTGAACTTCTGAGGTCTCATGGTGTCTGTAGAAATGAGGGGGAAAGCCATAACTTTATGGGTGGCCGCATTTCTGTATGGGGAGACGAGTATCTACCTCGCTAGGCTGCTGAGAAGGTCCGAGATGTTGAAACCCACCCTGTGCCTAAAACTCCACAGTCCTCAGGGGAGGCCACGTGGGAGGGAAGGAGAAGGAAGAGGGCAGGGGAGGGAGCGAGGGCCCTCTTCTCACTCTCTGACTTAGAAAAACATTTTACAAAATGCATTCATATGGTGTCCTAGAACCCACCCTGGGGAGGGATGGATAGACACACGGGTGGGGACAATGGCCTGCTCGCTCAATCTTTGCCTTCTGCCCTGTGCAGGGCACTGAGAAAACTTCCTGGAGCCCAGCGGGACTGCGTCCTGAGAGCAGTGAGGGACAGGGAGAAGAGGTTGTCCTCCTTATTTCCTGGTCACAGGGAGGCTGGGGTTCCCATAGAAAAGCCCAAGGTACAGCCAGAAAGCTGACATCACTGTTCTTTTAAGACAGAAACCAAGAACCAGATGTTGGGGAGACTAACAGTGAGTCCAGATGTGCCACTGAGTCCCCACAGTGAATAACAAAGCCTGGTTATAGCCTGCAGAAGGACAGCAGCTGTTCCGGTCTGAGCTAGCTGGAGTCCAGGGCTAGCCTCTGGGGAGAGAGATGCGGAAGGGTTCAGGTGTCTTCCAGGCCCAGGATGGTGGTGCCTCAGGATCCCCACCGTGCAGACTGAGACGGTGACACTGAGGACCATCAGTTTGAGACAACTGGAATCACAGCAGAGACCCTTTGAGTCCCAAAGCTAAGCAGAAATCTTTGTTTTAGCCTCTTTGCAGCACAGGTGGGGATACCTGGGGTTGGAGGAGCAGTCTCGCGTGGTTTTCAGTGTGTTTAAGAGAGTCTATAGGGCTGGGTCTCAGCAGAGGGGAGAGTGGAGGTCTTTTTATTTGTGCAAGTCACTCCTTGATTGTTTTCCATGGTCCTTCCTGTGGTTGAGGCTTGTCTATGTGCAAGTAGCCCAAATCCTACCCTCTCATGAGACTTTCACCATGTATGATTTTGGCCCCCAGCAGCTCCGGACACAGCCCATCACTGGCACTTACTTGGTGCCAGGACTGTCCTTTTCTGGCAGCTGTAAGTGGAAGTCAACCCCTGAAGAAACTTACTAGGCAGCTTGGGGACTGAAGGGGGCCCAATAACAAACTGGAGGTAACCTCACCTCCTCTGGGTCAGGTGCACCTCAGTTTAGTGTGCTCCCCTGGTGGTTCATAACAGTCTCTAACTCCAGTTCCCGAGGATCTAACACTCTTCTGGCCTCTGTGGGCATCAGGCATGTATGTGGTGCACAGATTTACATGTAGGCAAGACACTCATACACATAAAATAAAAATGGAAAGCGTGTGTTTATATGTATTCATGTGTGTGCACTTGTGTCTCTGTATGAGTGTGTGTGGTGTGTATATGCCTCTGTGTATGCATGCATTTGTGCTTGTATGTGTATAAGTGTGTATGTATGTGTGCATATATGCATGTGCATATATATGTGTGTCTCTGTGTAGCTGCATATATGTGTGTATGCATGTGTATGGTATATATGCATGCATGTGTGTATAAATGTTATTCGTGTATATGTACATATATACACACATGTATGCACGCATGTGTGTTTATGTATGTATGTGTTGTATGCTTGTATGTGTGTTTGTCTGTGTGCATGTGTTGAGGCCATCTGTGTGTGTGTGGCCTGTGTAGAGGTTACTTCTCTGTGTGTATTTATTTGTATGTATGTGTATGAATGTGTAGAAGCCTGAGTTTTGGTGTCATTTTCAGAAACAAGATCCACTTCCTTGAGACAGTTTCTTACTGGCCCGAAGTTCACCATTGGGCCGAAATGGCTGGCCAGCAAGACTCGGGAATTCCCCTGTCTCTGCCTCACCAGCACTGGGCTTAATGACAAGGGTAGCATTTTTGTCTGGCTTCTGGGACCTGAGCTCAGGGCTTCATCCTTTCCAGGTAAGCACTTTACCAATAGATGTATCTTTCCCAACCTGAAGGAAGGGTTTTATATACGACAATGATGTGGTCAATGTATTCAAGGTCATCCTTGGCTACAGATCAAATCTGAAGCCAGGCTGGACTACAGGAGACCCTATCTCAAAATAGTGGGCTAGTGAGATGACTCACTAAGATCACTTAGTACTCTTGCAGAGGACCCAGGCACAGTTCCCAGCACCCACATGGTGGCTCACGACTGTCCTTAACTCCAATTCTAGGGGATCTGGCATTCTCTTCTGGCCTCTATAGATATCTGAAGGCAAAACATTTATAGACATAATATAAAAATAATAAATCTTTGGAAAGTACAAATAAACTCTCTCCTGTGCCCTTGGCCTCTCATCAAGGTATCCAGGGTAGAGTGCTAGACCCAGACACCTAGCTGTCTTATTGCTACCATTAACTTCTTTGACCACAATTAAATTCTTTGTTGGACAACAAAACAAGGAGGAAATAAAAAAATCCTCCCAAAACTCTGTTCAAATAACAGCCCTCCTTTCCCTCTGACCTCAGTTTCTCTATATGTGAGACCAGGAGGGCTAGCAGATGACCTTTCAGGGTTCATGACCTCTCTCTGGGGATCCCTGCTATGATCCTACAAAAGCTGGTAGCCCCCTTCAAGCAGTCCTGAGAAAAGAGAAAAGCACAGATACCCTTTGAGAGAAACTGGGGCAGGCTAAAGGACCTGCTGAGTGAATCCCGTCCCTCCTCAGTCCTGCAGATCTGTTTTCTCAGTGGAGCTTGGCTACAACCACCCTTTATTTTCATCCAGGGCCGCAGGTAGTGGGTGTCATGTATCAAGCTGTCAAGCTGTGGTCTCATTCGTGTGTGGCTGAGACCGGAAACATGTAAGAACAGTGGTTTCCATGGTTTCTAGACCCTTCTGATCCTCCTGCTTGTTGGGGACTTAGGGTCACTGCAATGTCAAAGATTGGGGTTTGAGTCTCCGGGTCTCACACGTACCTCATAGTTAATTTTGTTGGGGGTCTGTGTGCTTTGTCCAAGCCCCTCAGATTACAAACAGCCATGCATCGCCAAGTCCTGCCATAGCGCCCATGCTGCCACAAAGCTTGCCTGCACTCCATGGCTTGTGTCCCAAGCACGTGAATCAAAGAGGACATCGCTTGATATCAGATCCTGACATGCCGGCTGAGCAGGTTGAACTTAGGAGACTCTCGGACCACCCTGTTAAGAACCACTCCTTCCCGCATGGTGTGAAGTAGGGGAGAACTTACAGACCTGTGCAGATGGATTCTCTTGGAAGCTGAGGTTTCTGATGAGCAGCCCTGGGCTGGTGACACATAAACACTTTGTCTTATAGTCTGCCAGGCTGGGGCTCCTGGTTACTTTAAAAAGTGAGAAGAGGGGACTGGAGAGATGACTCGTGGTTAGGAGCACTGACTACTCTGCCACCATGCCACCAGCATACTTACCATCAGATCATATTTATTGGCCCTCTATCAAGCTATATTCTTGATTTGTCAGGAGCAGAATGAGGGACAAAAGGCACACAGGAATTGGGGCACACAGGATTGGGGCACACAGGAATCGGGGCACAGAGGTCGTCTCAAACAGATGATCTTGCTGTGTCAAGGAGGGAGGGCCTTAAAGTTCGGCGGAGACAGCCTGTTGGCCATCTGCTGGGTTCCTGGCCACTGTTTGTGGTGTGCAGCAGTAGCTGTCAGGCTTGGTGACAGCGGAGGACTGAGGCAGTGTGGACAAGGAGGGTCAGGGAAGCTCTAGTTCAAGTCTCAGTCTCTGCTGCATATTAAGCCATTGTGAATCCCCCTGGGCGAACTCAGTTGAGCACTTCAGGGTGTGCTATTTTGCTATTTGTTTTTGTGTGTGTGTGTGTGTGTGAGAGAGACAGGGTCTTCCTCTGTATATCTATGCCTCCCAAGGGATTAAAGGTCTGTGCCACTATGCCCGGCTTACAAGGCATGCTGGTTTTTTTTATTTATTTATTTATTTATTTATTTATTTATTTATTTATTACCACACAGCCCCACTACGGTTTCCTGGAGGATCTCCTAGGTAGCTCACGGGGGCATACTCCAGGCAGGTCTGTCCAGTCAGGTGGATTAAACAGTCGACTTTATAGTGGAATGTAATACTGCCATGGTTCAGGTTACAGGTCGTCACATGGTTACCAGCCTTGGGAGACCTGTCACAAGAACCAAGAAGGTCATCGTCCCAGCCATTGTCAGCATCCCAGACCTGCACCCTCAGGGGTCCGCCTGTGGCCAGGAGCACATCCCCAAAGTCCAGCTTGTCAGTCCACTTGGGGTGGTTATTGTTCCACACTGTGCTGGTCCTCAGCTCCTGGCCGCCAAAGAAGACCTTCACATAGGCATCAGAGGCTGTAACATAGTCTCCCCACAGACCCTTTGCCTGGAAATTGGTCACCAGCAGGTGGGCCAAGCCCCTCTGGCGTGGACAGCAGTCCTGGTTGGTGGTCTTCGAGTTGTGGCATACGCATTGGCATGAGTCCCGTGTGTTCCTATGCTGGCCTACCCTACAGGGTCGGTTACAGTTCTGCCAACGAGCCCTGCCTACCACATAATGGCTGATAGCCTGTCTCAGTGCCTCCCGCCTCGGGTCCACATCTTCCACCAGCACGTGCAGGGACTCCAGGCTGTAATCCACCAGTCCAGGGCTGCTGACCAGCGAGGTTATCCAGGTTGAGAACTGTTCGGGGGTAGCCTGGTTCCCGAAGAGCAGGTCTTGCGTGGAATCGAGTTGGCCGCCGACCACGTCGACTTGACGCTCTCGGTAGGCCTGGTGGAAAGAGGTGGTCATCTTGTGCTGTTTCTTCTTCTCCTCGCAGGCTTTGTACTCACTGGAGGCACTGGCCTGGGCACCGATGCTGACCTGGGCCTCCACGTTCAGGCAGTCTCCTACCTCGTCAGCGGTGAGCCCTTCCAGGGTCAGCTGACATGTGCGCAGGGCTGTGAGGACCGAGACACGGCCACCTAGGTTCATAGCCGTAATAAAGTGGGTGCCATAGGATGAGATGAGCCTGTCATAAGCATCCTTCGTGGAGGTGTTGAAGTTGGGGGGAAGCCTCCTAAGTGCTCTTCTGAAATCAGGGTGCAGTGGGGGTTTTTGGACCAGGCGAAAACTGTGGGGAGAGCAGAGATTTAAAGGAGTCTAGTGGGTGGCATTTCCCTGGCTCAGTTCAACCTTCAAGGCCCCTCCCCCATACATACACAGAGATATGAAAGTAGAATGGGGCTACATGGGGCTAGGTGAAAAAAAAGGGAGGGGTTAGCAGGAGCTGGGATAAGAAATAATGTGATTAAAATATATGCATGTAGTGAAACCGTTGTTATTTAAAATTAATATATGCTATCTAAAAACATAAAGTGTGTATACGTGGGATGTTGTGCGAACTGTAATTCATCTTAATAACAAAAACCCAGAGTCAGATATTGGGGTAAATGCTGAAAGATCAGAGAAGTAAAGGAGTCAGTCACTAGAGAGACTTTTTACCTCTACCGAATCCTCAGATCAAAGTGGGCGGATCCTGTCTCCGGGAATCCTCAGACTGCATGCTATGAGTACCTGTCTCTTCCGCCTTAGATTCCTCTCTCTGCCCAGCCATATCACTCCTGTCTCTACCTCTCCAGTTTTGGGATTAAAGTCATGTGACTCCCAAGTGCTGGGATTAAAGGTGTGAGCTGTCACCACCTGGCTCTGTTTCTCTCTCTCTCTCTCTCTCTCTCTCTCTCTCTCTCTCTCTCTTTAGGTTTTTCGAGACAGGGTTTTGCTGTAGTTTTTATTTTATTTTATTTATTTATGATTTTTTTTTTGAGACAGGGTTTCTCTGTAGCTTTGGTGCCTGTCCTGGAACTAGCTCTTGTAGACCAGGCTGGCCTCAAACTCCCAGAGATCCGCCTGCCTCTGCCTCCCGAGTGCTGGGATGAAAGGCGTGCACCACCACCGCCCGGCTCTCACTGTAGTTTTTAGAGCCTGTCCTGGAACTAGCTCTTGTAGACCAGGCTGGCCTCGAACTCCCAGAGATCCGCCTGCCTCTGCCTCCTGAGTGCTGGGATTAAAGGTGTGAGCCGCCACCACCTGGTTTCTTTTTTAGACTGAATCAATCTTGTGTAGCCCAGGGTGGCCTTGAACTCACAGAGATCTGTCTGCCTCTGCCTCCTGAGTGCTGGGATTTAAAGTGTGTGCCACCACTCCCTGACCTCTATGGCTAACTAGTAGCTTAGCTCTGTATTCTGATCTTCAGGCAAGCTTTATGCGTTAGAACATAAACAAAATATCACCACAGTGGAGTAAGGGGTAACGTGTCTCCATGGGTAAACTTTGTTGCTGGGTCTGCCAACCTGAGTTTGGTCCCCAGAACCCACACAGTAGAAACAGAGAAAAGACACTTTCACAAGCTGTTTCCCGATCTCCACACGCTTGTTGTGACACACAGATGCACAAACTAAATAAGTACATACATAAATCAATGAAATAGAAATAGGTTTTAAAAGCCCGAGAAACCAGTGCAGAAGACGTGGAGTCACTGTATCCATGCAGTGAGGAGGAAGGACACACCCAGGTTTCCTGTCTCTGTCCTTACCCAGGAAGGACACCATGGGAGGTTGACCATGCCTGGGAGAGAGGGCTTAGGCGCTCCCTGCCTGTACCTAAATGTCACCAAGCTTGGGCTCAGGAACAGTCTCGCTTCCATCCTGTTTTTCTCCAGATGTGGGTGCTCATAAATAGAGGAGGCCTTTCATGAATGGATACATACATACATACACGATTGATAGATACATAGATACATAGATGGTAGATAGATAGATACATAGATACATAGATGCATAGGTGATAGATATATAGATACATAGATGATAGACATAGATACATAGATGATAGAACATAGATACATAGATGGTAGATAGATACATAGGTAGAAAGATTATAGATAGATAGATTATAAATAGATACATAGATGATAGAAGATAGATAGATAGATAGATAGATAGATAGATAGATAGATAGATAGATAGACAGACAGACAGACAAGCAGGCAGGTATGCAGGGCTGTAGGATCTGTAATCTAAGGACCAGTGCCCTGGTTAGTTTTGTTGGCAACATAGAATCATCTGAGTCCCAGTGAGGGACTCTCTAGATCAGGCTGGCCTGTGGGCATGCCTGTGGGGGATTGTCTGGACTGCTCAACTGATGTGGGAAGAAGACCCAGCTTGAAAGTGGGCAGCGCTGCTTCCTATTTTTGGGCCCTGGACTGTATACGAATAGAGGAAGGTAACTGAGTAGTAAGTATGAATGCATGCATTTCTCTTTGCTCTTGACTGTGGGTATCACGTGACCAGCTGCTCCATGTTCCTGCCGCCTTGATGTCATGTGATAATGGACTGTGACCTGGAAGTAGGGGCTAAAACAAGCCCTCTCTTCTTAGCTGCTCCTTGGTCAGGACATTTTATCACAGCAACAGAAATGAATCTGGAGCAGTGGTTCTAAACTTGGGGGTCACGACCCCACAGGGGGTGTGTCACATAGCAGATATTTACAGCACAATTCATAACAATAACAAATTACAGTTATGAAGTAGCAACTAAATAATTTTATGGTTGGGGTCAGCACAACATAAGGAACCATGTTAAAGGGTCATAGCATGAGGAAGGTTGAGAGCCACTGGTCTAGAACAGTCAGGATTTGGTGTCCTTCTCTGAAGCCATCTGTAGACTATGCTGCTGTTTCAGAGCTCCCAGACCCCTGAAGGGTCCCACTACTCTTCCGGCTCCTCTCTCCCCCTGCGCTCTGCCCCAGCTCTTACCTGTACAGGTGACACTCCACTGCGTCAGAATTAAAGCTGTACTGGTCCTGATGGGTCTTCTCGGTTGCAAAGTTGGCTACCTGGGAGTGGGAGCCAGCCATGGACACGCGCATGCTTGCCTCGGGCTTGGGGTTCACATCCAGGCCCACACGCCAGTCATTATTGATGTTAGCAGCTGCATCCCGGGCCACACCCTCGGTCGAGCTGACTTTGGCTGTGGCCACTTTACGCTGGCAGCTTGAGCTGTGAGGCCGCCAGTGGGCAATGGCCAGAGGCAGGCGTTGTATAGCATCTTTTTGCAGGGCATTTTTACAGAGGGTGCAAGTGCGGTCAGGCCTCAGGAAATTCATTGTGTTCACTGGGAAGGAGCCGGAGCGGCGGAGGGTGGTCACGTCCACACCTTCCCCAGCCAACCATGCCCCTGGCACGAACTTGCGCTTCTCCTTGCATTCCGACCGAGGGGCAGTGTAGCAGGGAGCGGGGACAGGTGGTGGCAGCAGCAGGAAAAGGCCCAGGAGGAACAAGTGAGTGGCCATGGAGCTGTGGGTACAGCTGCCGTGAACTCTGGAAAGCTGTGGAAACAGGGATGAAGGATGCTGACCTCACACACTACTAGGGATAGTCAGGGAGAGAGACTGAAATAACTCTTTAGTTACTGCAGGCCAGAGCTGGCCTCGTCCATTGTGCAGAGAGGCCCAGAAAGGTTAAATGTATAGCCCAGAGTCACACAGCCAGGAGGAGCCCCGTGCTGAGATTTTACTATCTCAGACCTAGTGGGAATCAAGATTGATGACTCTGACCCTGGGCAATGGATGGGGTGTGGGGAGATGGCTCTCACTGTAAGAAGGGACAAAGCATCTATAATAGGTTTAGGCTTTAGAGAAGTTTTCTACCCACAACAGGGTGCCTTTTCCTACCCAATTCCGCTCCCCTGTCCCGGGGATGGACCCCAGAGCCTCATGCACGGCAGGCAAGTGCTCTGCCTCTGAGCCACACTTTACTTATTTATTTATTTATTTATTTATTTATTTATTTATTTATTTATTTATTTTGAGACAAGGTATCGTTAAGTTGTTCAGGGTGACTTTGAAGTCCCTTTGTAGCCCAGACTCTATGCTCTAGAGGAGCTAGGATCTTAAGCCTGTGGTCCCAGGCAGGGCTCCTAGTTAATCCTTGCTCTCTGTTTCTGATTGTAGGGCTCACTTCTGTCTCTCTCTGCAGTGCGCTCCCTTCCCCTCCCTGCACTTCCCATTTGCCTTCTGGAAGGGCACTAGCTCCAATGCTACAGTGAACAATGGCTGCCCTGTGTCTGTGCCCTTGGCTCTCCTGTGAGGGGCTTTGAAGTGTGCCTTCCCCTGCTTAGGTTTCCTGTCTTGCCATTCCCCACCAAGTTCTTTGTGCTTGGACTAGTGGGAGGGACAGACACCTATTTGTTGCCAACTGCTGGGCAACAATCACCTGGACTGTTGATCAGCAATCAACTAGAAGGTTCTTCCTTGCTTTGGGATGGGTTAGGGGCCCATTTTTGATTCCCAGTCTAGCTCTGTCCCACTTCAATGGTTCTTAGCCCATGGTTCAAATGTATTTCTGATGGTCTTAGGAACTGAGACACTGATCAGGAGCAAAACTGCAGTTATGAAGTCACAGCGATAGACCTGTTGTTCTATCTCCTTCCAGGGCCCTCAGAGATCGTTTTCCTCCACTGTCTGCCATATGCAGCAGGGTCTTAGGCGAGGGAGTGGGTGCAGAAGTGTCTCTCACACCTAGCTGCAGGCTTTCATACCCTGCCCAAAAGCAGTGACTTGGAGGTGGAGTTCAGGTGACATGTGGGGCTGAGAGACAGACAGGCAAAAGGGAATCCTGTCAAGCTTTCTGGTCATCCTGCTTAGGTGACCAGAATGCTCCTGACACTGATCCAGGTTCATCAGTTCCCTTCTGGAACTCATTGTATTGTTAGGTAGTCTGTCTACAGGATTTTGCCTCTCCCTTCCCTTCCCTTCCCTTCCCTCCCCTCCCCTCCCCTCCCTTCCCTTCCCCTCCCCTCCTCTTCCCTTCCCTTTTCCTTCTTCCCTTCCCTCTTCCCTCCCTTCCCATCCCCTTTTCTTCCCATCTCCTTCCTTCCCTTTTCTTGCATCTTTTGCGACAGGATCTCGCTGCCTTCCCGAGGAATCATAGGTGTACCCCACACCAGGAGGCCCATTTCCATATTATAAAGACTCTAACTGGGGGCTGGAGAGATGGCTCAGTGGTTAAGAGCACTGGCTGCTCTTCCAGAAGTCCTGAGTTCAATTCCCAGCCATCACATGGTGGCTCATAACCATCTGTCATCAGATCTGGTGCCTTCTTCTGGTATGCAGACATACATGCAGGCAGAATACTGTTTACATAATAAATAAATAAATCTTAAGGGAAAAAAAGGACTCTAACTGCCAGGACTTGAAATAGCCTTTGAGACTGTGGACAGTCTTCATTTACACATGAGCCCTAGAGTGGGCACAAGGCCGATGAAGGAGTTAGTGACCGACCTGAAGGCTTTTGGAGACCCAGGGCTCATGTTTTATGGTCCTAGCACTTCTGGCTCCTTCGGGCTCTGCCTCCCAATTCTCTTTCCCAGATTATCCCAGCCCCCCTGCTTCCCACCCTTCTTCTCCCGTACCTGAAGTCCCACAGAGATGCTGCAGTACAGGGGACACCCGCGCTCCCGATGGACGCCTTTGAAATGGTGCTGCGGTCCCCAGGCAGGCCCACCCTAGTCACCGTCACATCACTACTGCTTCCTGCCCTGCCCCCAGACTGTGGTCACAGGTCCCCACCAGCACCCACCCTGTTGTCACCTCGTCATCCGGTCTGTGACAGCCTTCAGGAAGTCAGCTGTGAAGGCCAGGGCTTCATCTGCCAGGCAGAGGTGTTGGGGTGTGGGACTCTGGTGCGGACCAGCAGGCTGACCATTCTCTGCTTCTGCTCTGAGTGTATAAGATGCAAGGAGCTGTCAGTTGGTGAGTGTGGCCTGGGCTCGAGTGGCCTCTTCTGTCTCAGCTCCGCCTCCAAACCTGTGGAAAGTCACCATGTCCTGGGAGAAGGGACATGAAGATGAGGGGCAGTGTTTAGAATCAGGCTGGATTGTCACTCATTCTCAGTACATGTGACTGTCCCCTCCTCCCTGGGTGGTGGGGAGAGATGTTCACAGCTGGTGCCCACTTCCTGTCCATACCTACATCCCAGCCCTGCACCAGGTTTGAGCAAGCTAGTACTGTTGAGAGCTAGGAAGGAATGAGAGACTGTTGCTCACTCTGCCTTGCCTGAGGTTAGAGTGGGGTGGTTTCCATGGGTGGGGTGACTCACTGGCACCTTCTGGGGGCAAAAACAAAATCATACTGGTTATGAGGTGGGTAAAAAGTGGGCGAGGGGGGCTAGTTCTCAGCACCTCCAAGTGCGTACGTGCTGGGAACAAGTAGCCACAGACCCCAGCCACATGGTCACATCTCGCCCTGGCTTATACCGTCTTCTCAAAACCTGGCCTCCTCTTCTGTTACTCTCCAAGAAATGGCACCTGCCTTGTCCCATGCTGGTATTCTACCCAAGTGGCCTGACCAGGAAGCCAAAGCTTGGAGGTATTTAGTCCCCAGCCATGCTGGAAGGACAATGGGAAAGGCATAGATACCCGTAAAAAGCTTACAGGAAAAGTCCAGACTCGAAACAGGCTCTCTCTAGCTCAGATACACCGGAAACCCACTCTCGGCAGTAGTTTTTAAGCCTCTTTATAGTCCTGAATTTGCTCATCTATGAAACCGAAGGGAGGGTGCTGGGCATGCGAAAGGCCCCGTGTCTTTACCTTCAGTATTATAGTCATTATCCTTATTATTATCATGATCACTATTATATCATCACTATTACATCACCATAATCATGATTGCATCACCATCATCATCACCACCATCTTCATCAAATAAGCAGTATCATCTTCACTATCATCATATCACCAGCCTATCATCTATATCATCACCAACATCATCACCATCACCACAATCACCATCACCACCATCATCATCACCACCATCATTATTATTACTGTCATCACCAACTCCATCAGCAGCAGCAGCACCACCATCATCACCATCATTATCATTACCGTTATCACCATTACCACCATCACCATCATCATCATCACCACCACCATCATCACCATCATTATTACCATCATCACCATCATCATCACCATCATTATCATTACCGTCATCACCATCACCATCACCACCATCACCAGCAGCAGCAGTACCACCACCATCCTCACCATCATCATCATCATCACCATCATCACCACCATCATGCCACCATCACATTACCACCACCATAATCATCAGGAAACCTTTGTCTTTTTAAGAATCCTTTTAGCCGGGACTGGAGAGATGGCTCAGTGACAACGAGCACTGGTTGCTCTTACAGAGGACCCAGATTCAATCCCCAGCACTCAATGGCAACTCAAGTATGTAACTCCAGTCCCAGGGTTTCTGACACCCTCACACAGACATAGACACAGGCAAAACACCAATGAACACAAAACAAAAATAAATTATATGTGTGTGTGTATTTTTAAAAAATAATCCTAGCAAATGACGAGATGTGTGTGTCAAAGGTTCCCCTGGGGGTGTCCTTTAGAGAGCCATGATGACGCCAATGCTTCTGACAGGTTCGGACTGGCAGACTTGGTGAGAGTTATCTTGTCTGTTGACATGTGCAGCGCACAGCTTTCCCTCGGAGATACCAGTTTTGACTGTATTGAGATATAATTCTCTGCTCTACACACACCCGTTGAACATATCTGACCCCATGATTTTTTGCTACGCTCAGAGGGCTGTCCATCTACCACCACAATAGACTTTAGAATATTCTTACCACTCTCCAAAAAAAAAAAAAATCCCTGAGCTCACTCGCCGGAGAGCATCTTGTTTCCCCTTAATACGAACCTAGTCTGTATCTCTGGATTTTCCTGTTTTCTTACTGCTTTGACTGTTTTTTCTTTAGACTACTGTCATCTGGGAAGGGGGACCTCAGTGGAGGAAAGGCCTCCATCAGATAGCCTGTAGACAAGTATGACGTGCTTTTTCTCAATTAGTGATCAATGTGGGAGGGCCCAGCCCACTGTGGGTGGTGACGTCCTTAGGCTGGTGGTCTTGAGTTGTATTAAAAAAGCAGACTGAGCAAGCCACGAGGAGTGAGACAGTCAACAGCCCTCCTCCGTGGTCTCGACTTCAGCTCCTGTCTCCAGGTTCTTGCCTTGAGTTCTTGCCTTGGCTTCCCTCAGCCAACTGTGACTCTGGATACGTAAGCCAAATAGACCCATTCCTCTCTGCTACTTTTGGCCATGGTTTTTATCACAGCAACAGAAACCCAACTAGGACATTGATTTTTCACATAAACGGAATCGTGCAATATGACTGTTTCTGTCTGGCTTATTTTGCTCGATAGCTTCAAGCTTCACGAGTGCTGGGGCATGTGTCAGCCTTTCCACGGCGGAATAATATATGACCGTATGGGCATACCACATTTGCTCAGCTATGCCTCAGTGGATGCTCATATTTTCCCACTTACTCATTAGTATGAACCCTGCTGCTCTGAGTATTTCGGCACAGATTTCTCTGTTTGAACACATGTCTTCGTTCCCTTCAGTGTATGCCTAGGAGTGGAATTGCACAGTTATGCGGTAGCTCCCATTTTAATCGCGTGGGAACCGTTTTCCCATGTGGCTAAAACATTTTCCATTCTCACCCGCTCTGTGTGAGGGCTCCGGCTTCCCCACTGTATTTCCCACCCTTGTGATTGTCTGACTGTGCTACCCTAGCAGGTTTGAAGAGATGGCTCCCTGCGCTTTCTATTTTGATTTCCCTAACGGTGGTTGATAATGTTAGACCTCAAACCTGGGGCGAATGGCTGAGATGCCTAGTTAAGGAATCAAAGCAGATCCTGGCTGCCAGGCTCTCTCTGCATCCCTCAGACTTTACCTGTTACAGAGCCCTCTCAGTTGGGATATGTCACTCTCTGTCCTAAACGTCTTCAGCCTATGGGCTGGGCTGCCCTCCCCACACCTGGCCTTCCCTATATAATCCAACCATTTAGGTTACTTGGTCCTTTCGTCTACTCTCTTTTGGTTCTCCTTGCTGCTGTACCTGGTTCCCCTCTCTCCCATCCCCCTCCACACATGGCCCAGCTCAGTCTGGTCATGTCCACCCTGGACTCCTTCAGATGTCCCTGACTCTGGCTATGCTTCTCCCTCATATCTATAATAAACCTTCTCCTCCACCACACCTAGGAGCAGTCATGTTCTTTCCTTTCTTATTTCTTTTTTTTCTATTCATTTAAGAGATGTGTGCTTTCATCATGGGTCATTTGTTTATATTCTTCGGAAAACTTCTTTTCAAATCCTTTGCCCAGTTTTGAACTGATTTTTTTTTTGTTACTGAGTTGTGATACCTCTTTATATATATATGGATCCTAGACCCTTCAGAGATACACCATTGACCAGCACCCAGCAGGTCATTCTTCAGTGACAGGTTTCTGAGAGGAGGGACCAGGGGATCAGAAAATAAAGAAGATAGCAGAGTTTGGGATCAGGAGATCTTGCCCAAGGTTTGTCTCATACCAAGCAAGTTTATTAAGAAGTGCAGCGTCTTGTATTTGGCCTGTAGGGGGAATATGGGGCAGAGTCAGCATTAAGCTGTCCTACAGTGGGGTAAAGTCAGCAGGAAGCTAACCAAGCAATGGTGCACAAAGGGAACACAGGCTGTCTCAAGTGCACACAGTGGCCCAGGGACAGATAACCTAGCCTCTTCAAGGAGGAAAAGCCAGGTTACCAGGAACTGAAATCTTAACTCCTTCGAGGCTCTGCCCAGCCTCAGGCTGGACCTTGCTAAGTCTGCACCCAGCAAGGACCCAGAAGCAGAGTTCCCTTTGTCCTTCCATCAGGTACTCTGAGATAGCCTCAGTCAGCCTGGCTACCAACACATGGTTTGCAAATATTTCATTTCTGAGTCTTTTTTTTTTCATGGTCTCCTTTTCTTTCTTTCCCTTGCTCCCTCCCCACTTTCCTTTTTGCTGTACTAGGAGTTAAATCAGGGCTTCCCACGCTGGGCAAGTGCTCTTCCGCTAACTCTATCCTCAGCCTTCCCTTTGAGCTTCCTTTCTTTTAAACAAACTTGGGGGCTGCTGGCACCTTATGCACACAATACACTTACAGACACACAGGCAGGCAAAACATCCAGACGTATAAAACAGAAAAAGAATGTAAGCGTAAAAAAAAAATTTGGGGGGATTTATTTACTTTTTAAGTTTTATGTGTATGGGTGTTTTGCTTGCACATATCTGTGCATATTTGCATGCAATGGCTGTGGTGTCAGATCCCCTGGGACCGGAGTTACAGACAGTCGCAAGCTGCCATGTGAGTGGTGGGAATGGAACCCAGGTTCTCTGGGAGAGAGGACTGTGCTCTTAAATCACTGAGCCGTCTCCCCAGCTCCCAAGCTGGCTCTGAACTCATGTTAAAGCTCAGGGTTCTGCCAAAGATTCATGAGTAGCTGGGATTATGAGTCTGCACCCTTAGGACCACTTTCCTCCTCCCTCCCTCCCTCCCTCCCTCCCTCCCTCCCTCCCTCCCTCCCTCCCTCCCTCTTTCTTTCTTTCTTTCTTTCTTTCTTTCTTTCTTTCTTTCTTTCTTTCTTCTTCTTTTTTCTTTCTTTTTTTCCAAAACAGGGTTTCCCTCTGTAGACCAGGCTGGCCTTGAACGTACAGAGATCCACCTGTCTCTGTCTTCTGAATGCTAGGATTAAAGGTGTGGGCCGCCACTGTCCAGCTTTTGGGTTACTTTCCTTTCTTGTCTTTTGCTTTTCTTCTTGTTTTCTAGTATCAGTTTTGGCAAATGACATTTCTAATGGAAAATTTCAGGCCCGTGGGCTTATTTATAGTATGGTACCTCTATCTTTAAAGCATAGCTCTCTGAGTTAGTAGTATGGTATTCTATTTTATTTTTAGAAGGAATCTCATTGTGTAGTCCTGGCTGGCCTGGGACTTAATATGCAG